ATATTGACGGATTGGAGGTAATGTGACCTATGGGATTTGGCTCATATAGCATGTGGCACATGGCTGAAGCTAGGGGACCAGTAAATGAGAGGCAGGACGTTCAAAGGGTGTGTTCCCTGCACTTAAATGCCTTCTGACATAGTCTGAAACTTAACTGCTTGACTTCATGCTGGAAAAGTGAACATGGTTGTTTAATCTCAAAGATTTAGAGCCACTCAGCATCTGATTTTCCCTTTGGAATCTGGAATAATTATATATTCTCAAGAGAAGAGAATTGACTTGGACTTGATACTGAGCAGCCTGTGAAGGTAAGGAAAATTAAAGAAAATTCCTTCAAAACAGTTCACATTGGGGAAGTAAGGTGCTGTTATAAAATGATAAAGGATCAAAAGAATTAAAAGCTAAAAATGCCTATGTACACATTGTTTTGACTGAGGCCAACAATAAAGTGAAGTTCAGGAAATGTCTCCTGTTTGTTTAGTGTATTAGAAATTACAGATGTGTCTTGACATATGAATCACTAATTAAGACAAGAATGTTTCTTTTAGTAGTAGCTGAAGATATAATTATGATTTATGTTCTCTCTCATTATAATATTCATTTTTACATTGAAGTTAGTTCTTTGTGATTCTACCAAGAAAATTGTTGAATATCTCTCCCTTGGCTAAGTTCTCTCTTCTTTCTGTGTACAGGACTGCTCTGCGGTATGTGTGGCTATAACATGTCTGCTTTATGTTACAGTATTGTCTCTTAAGAAGTAGAGTTTAGAGTTTAAAAAATGTTTCATTTTGTAGTTGAGGAAAGAAAGCCATGGGTTCTTTCTCAAAAGGAAATGTACCTGCTCTTTAGGTTAGATCTCATCAAACTCTATCACTGTACCTGGTTTTGCAGGGAGTGTGTTGGATGAACAGGCATTTGTAGAGCAGATAACAACTGATAAATTGACAGATGCTAGTTTCTATAAAGTAAAATTGAAGTGATATTTAAGGATATGAATGGGCAGTGTTTTTTCTCTACCATAAAAGTGCAATTAATATTATTTCCATTACTAGGTGTAAATATATCCGTTTGGGTCCTTTTTCCAGGCAAATATCACAAGATTACTTACTACGTCTTTACTGAGTCTTTTACATACAGCAGCATTTGGATCACAGATTGTTTCCAATTAGAAGGCCAGAAGTTTTATAACTGAACTAAGGTCTAATTTCTATCCTGACTGTGACCATCTATCCTTTATAAGCCTTTGGGAACTGTTCCTGATTACATTCCCATAATATGCAGCATACACTGATCCATTCCTCCTGGTCAAACAGGTCAGGAGAACTGTTTGATCTGGAGTTATGTATTCAGGAAGACCTAGATTTTAAAATTCCATGCTATTATATAGGCAGTATGTTTTACTTGTATGTCAGGTTTATTTATTAGGTAATTCTAAAATTTGAAAGTAACTATAATTTATTGCCTCTCTTTGACATTTTCTTCCATTTAATATGTTCAGGGCCTCAAAAAGTAGAATTAATTCCAACTGTTTATTTCTGACAGACCCCACTGTCTTGCTATATAGGCTTTCACAATGTGGTGACTCAGTCATAGAGATTGAAGAGGAGAACATATTACAACTAAGCATAGGAAGAATTTATTAAAGAGGGGCTGGAAATGGCTCAGCAGTTAAGAGCACTTACTGCTTTTCCAGATGACCCATGTTTGGTTCCCAGCACCCACATCAGGCAGCTCACAACCACCTGTAACTGTTGCTCCAGGGGATCCAATGCCCTCTTCTGGCCCCCACGGACACCTGAATATGTCTGTCTGTCTGTCTGTCTGTCTGTCTGTCTCTCTCTCTCTCTCTTTCTCTCTCATCTTAAAAGAAAATAATTATTTGAAGTGAGGACTCAAAGTGAGGACTTGAGAAGGTGTTGCAGCACCTATCTCTATCTCTGTTTGAGTCAGGGAAGAATTACTAAGCAGATGGTATTGAAGTGACTAGGGGAAGTCAGCTAAATTTGGGGCAGGAGAGGATTTATGTTAGGCAGTACAGGTGATAATTTTTAATAATTAATTCATTTTTAGGGAAATAGTCAAACTCCAAGATAATTTTCATATGTTTTTTTATTTTGGCAAGTGGATAGATAGGAATGTTGTTAACCAATAGGTAACTGGGAGAACATTTCTCTCTGACGCTGGTGGATAGATAAGGTAATTAGTTCAATTAGGGGCATGCTGAATATGAGATGCCCTTTGAGACATAATTTTATTACTTTTTGTAATAAAATGATTTTATGTTAGAAGAGATTACTCTTTTTAATTTAGATCTGTACAGTATGTAGGACACTAACCAGGTTTAGTAGGAAATAGAAGATAGACTTATGGTCTCCACTATTAAGGACTCTATTCTCTCATTGCAGTATAGGATGAAAATACCATAGGAGATCCCAATAATCTTCCAGGACAATAACAGAGGAAACATTAGGGCTGTATGCATAGGATTGCCAAGTGAATTATACAGATGCTTCTTGCTTTTCTATAGTTAGTATCCAAGTGGAGATACGTGTTTGATTTTTATTTTTATTCCAATAGTTTCAGATGGTAGAGGATAGCACAACCTTGTTTAGTAGTAACACAAATTGTTTGTTTTAGAGTAACCCATTTTAATTTTATGAAGGAGGAACTGTTATTAGTCCCAGTTTACAAATATGGAATGTCAGATGCTGAAAGGCTAAGCAACCTGTAAAAAGGTTAATCAACCTGTAGTCAGTAAATGATGTTGATTCAGACCTGCTCAGTCTAAATACAAACTCTCTCCCTTCATTTTTAAAATGTATTTTTAAAAAGCTGTTTTTATTTATTTATTGAGTGAATGAGTGTATGATTGATTGGGGAGTGTGGTATGTGGCATGTGCCATGCCACATGTGGAGGACCAAGTTCTACATTGTAGAGGTACTTCTCTCCTGTCACATTTATTTACTTGGGTTCCAGAATCGAATTCAGGTTGTCAGACTTGCATGGCAAGTGCTTGTATCTGCTGAGCTATTCTGGCCTCCCACAACCCCCCTTTTTTTGAGACAGGGTCGCCTTGTAGCCCCAATTGACTGGGTACTCACTATGTAGAGCAGGCTGGCTTTGATCTCACAGAGATCTACCTGCAACTTAATAGTCTGCCAATTCTTGACATATGCATTGCTTTTTGATATTTAATTTCCATTTACTATTTTTGATTGGTTGCTGCTGGTAAGTTTCCTGTACTAAGGAAAAAAAAAACATTTAAAGCTTCTTAAATCATAAAATTCTTTTCCAGAAAAGTTCAAAACAATTATGAAATTTTAGGTATATTTTTAAATACCATGTAGAAGTATTTTACAATCTAATATGATTTTCTTA